CTAAAAAGTACTTAAATATTTCCAATCATAATACCATCTTCAAAAACAGCATGTAATATAAAATTTATATATAAATAATTATAATTTAGACATATAATATAATATAATATTTCTATTTGTAATTACATAAATTCGTATACTTGCATTTACAATGAATATTTATAATTTATTTGCTATAAATGACAGACAGAGTGTCTTTCCTCTCTAGTCTGGACGAGATCTCGTCCATTTATTTCCCCGAATCTGAATCAGTCAGTTACGATCGCGGCGGATCTTGACCTTTGTCGCTTCTATTTTGCGCCTAAACTTGAAATCCTGCGTCGCGAATAGGCGCTCGTTCGCAAAACGAGAAATCGCGGGGACAGTCGTTCTTCAGTGGATATTTCGAACGGAGCTTGGAGAGGCGCCATGGAATTTCCGTGCTCCCCGCGAAGATCCGATGGTGGCACATTTCGTCGCACGCAGTTAACGCACCTACGGCTTTCGAGTTACAGGATACATATTTAAGCGCAACTATATACGATCGTCCATTTATCGCGAATGCGCTAAATAAGAGATGCACTCATTAACATTTCTTATGCCTGTTGACGCAAAGCGTCTCCATATAGCACGTACTTTGTGATATAATTTCACTTTCGGAGCGCTGTTTAATTATTAAGATTTTTTATTATGACGCTATCGCAGTTAAATTGATCTCTCTTAAACTTTATCACAGTAATTGTTAATCACAGAAAACCTACACGAACGACACCGATTGCGAATTCCCGTATAGAAATTTAATACTGTACGTGATTTTTTGGCTAGTGATTAATCATTTAAAAGCACTATTAAAAGCACTATTAACAGTGCTTTTAATAGTACTTTTAAGTGATTAATTACTAGCCAAAAAATCACTTACAGTATTAAATTTTTATAAGGGTTAGTCGAGACGAAATGTTGTTTGTATCTTTCAGGAATCGCCAAGACAAAAAAAAACATAAAGGACAGCAGGCAGTTACGAAAATTGCCCTGACCTTCTTCGAGGCGATCAACTCGCAAACGATATACATTATGTATCCAACTATTTCTTTTTTGATTTACGTTTCTGTTCGGTCCTCCGTCTTTATTTATTAAACCGCGTTTTTATCGTCTACTTTTTATCAAATTAATTTAATCGCGCAGCTCGATAGCTTCTTATAGCAATTATAAAAAGATGAAGAAACGTCGATTCCGCTTGCCTACGCGAATCGTTCGCGCTCATTAAGCTCGCGCTCGCACAGGTGTGCGGGGAACCTCGAATTTCCTCACGCAAAGCGTCTGCCAAAAGTTTGACGTAAGTCACGGTATTGAGGCTGCTATTTCGAGGATAGCGATGGTGCATGGATCATTGTTGCTCCCACCAACATCGACCAACATTCGGCGCGTCGTAATCGCGCACGGCTATAAGCATGTGGCCGCGTGTACGTGAAGGCTCCGAGCCCCCTGATCAGGCACAGGTGGACAGCGTTCCAATTTGATTCTCCTTTATTTCTCTTTATTGTACATTGAGCGTATATATCGTCGTATATACAAAGGTACAAAAGAAGTCGATCACTTCGCGACCGTCGGAAGAATAATCCTCCCCGGCTGTTTGTCCGGCGACAAACTTCGCGTAACTTCGCCACGATAACTCTGCAAGGTACTTGATTCTGTGCGCAATATTTCCAGATTGACGATTCGAGAGCGCTCGGGAGTGCATTCGCGCGTTTGAGCAACGAGAGCGCGTCTTATATATCGCTTCTATCACGAACGATCTTCTCGACATGCGAAAGTAGAGAGAAAATACATACATACAAAACGTACATTTAGCGACTAGAATCGTAACAGTATATAGATAAAATATAAATGTGGTGCTGTCTAAGCGTTATATCACTTTACACGCGTTGTGTAAAAGAAGGATTCTAACGTAGAAACAAAAGGCACCTCGACAGCCTCGTTATTGTACTCATCGAATTGACGGGGACTCACAGCGCGCAAATACTTTATCTTCCGCATCTTAAAAAAAAAACAGACTTCGACGATGCCGGTACAGGTCGCTTATAATGAGATGATTCTCGCCTTTCTTATCTCAAGTCTACGATTTTGATTGAAGCTCTGAAAAAGAAAACAGTACTGGTTACCGCATTAAAACTAAAATTTTGAAACAGTCTTTTGCACAGTGTTTTTAAGTGATATGTATAAGAGATTTTTTTTCTCGTATTAATAATGTGTGGATAGCTAGAATATGTTAATAAATTTTGTCAGATCAATAACTTCTTTGTTTAAAATTAATTAACTCGAAAAACATGGACTCGGTGCAGTTTCGTATTTTAGGGCTTTCAGTCGCGAGTAAGTACCAAGTCCACGCGTAGAATATATAATTTACCGGAAATCCAAGAAAGTGCTCCGACAAACGTCATCCCTCCCGACAAACGTCTCGATCTCCAACAATCTCTCGACTAGTAGTAGTCGTAGAGGAGATAACGGTGCAACGACTGCGGCAGCTGCAGCTTCCTGACGATCTTCGGTAGCCTGGTGCCGCAGAGTTTGCGGACTATCAATCTCGCCTGATGGGTCAACGGCAGCGGGGTCCTGGCCGCCTCCATCACCAGGGCCTTCTGCGCGTCCGTCAGGCTGCTGGACCGTCGGATCATGCAGGGATCGAAGCTCTCCGCCGCCTCCAGCAGCGCCCGCAGCAGCCGCGGCTTGTCGGCCGTGTTCTGCAAGGAGTTGAGGATGCCGTGTGGGTCGCGGAACTGCGTCTTGATCACCACCCGGGCACCGTACTTGAGCAACAACGCCACTATTTCCACCGACGGGTTCTCGTTCGAGGCGACGTACTCGGCGAGCACCGGTCGCAACGCCGGCCCGTCGTCGCTGCGTATCACCAGATTGGGATCGGCGCCGCGCTCCAGCAGCATGCACAGGATCTCCAGCCGGTTCGGGATGTTGTCCGCGCACGCCACGTGCAGCGGTGACCCGATGATCGGCGACGTGGCGTTCACGTCCGCGCCTGGGGAACCGCGATCAAAAAATACAATCTTTTATCATTATCCGGATATAATTTGATTCAATTATTGCCGTTGAGATATTGTTTAAAACCTTGTGTCCACGATGCTAGAACTGCGTCCGAGTTTTGGTTTAAGCCAATCAACTTGCAGCTCTTATAGAAAAGTAGCAGTTTCATTGGCTTAAACCGAAACTCGGACACAGTTCTAGCATCGTGGACACAAGGCTTCAGATATAATTTCGAGTACGATCCTGGGTCAAATTTATAAGACTGAAAGAGATATTAGGACGTTGTTGATCAACGAGAACGGCTCTTGGCGGAGTCTATCTATGATCGCGAGCTGTGACTTCTTGAGAAAAAAAGAGATCGTACGACACACTACACGGATAGATTTAATACTGGACGTGCGCGTATTCGACCTTCGAATGCCGCGCGATTTCGGCCGTATGCCAGCGATTATCGGGCCGGGATACCGGCTAACTCACCCGCTTCGAGCAGCATCTCGACGATCGACGGGTCGCCCTTGAGTATGGCCAGATCGAGGGCCGTCGGTTTCTGATAGTCCGGCCCGAGGTCCAGCCGGGCGCCTTGCTTCAGCAGCAGATTGATCACCGTCGGATCGCCGCCAAGGATCGCGTAATGCAGCACCGTCCGGTAATCGTGCCTGGCGTCCGCCGTCGCGTTCACGTCCGCGCCGTAGCTCAACAGCAGAAGCACCGAGGATATTCCCTGCGACATTCGCAAGGATCGATCAGTTTTTCCGCGATTTTGCGGAAACGCGAACGTAATTTATAAGTACTGCGTGTCGAGTATAGTTGTGAATTTTAAAAAAAACACAAGAAATTCAAAACGCCTCTGAAGGTTTGAGAAAAAAGAAAATAGAACGTCTTTTTGGATAGAAACTCTTCCTTTCTCTTTAAAATAATTTTTAATTTATTTTGAACTGGCTTAAATTTGCGAGGAAATCAGGGTTCTCGTGTTGTTCGTTGATGGGCAAGTCTGTATCTCGTTGATTCTGGTTACCTGCGGCAGTCTGGCGGCCTTCATGAGGGGCGTCAGCCCGGCGCGATCCCGCGTGTTCGGATGAGCGCCGAAGGCTAACAGCAGCTCCATACACTCTAGATCCAAGGGCGACACCAGATTGATCTCGGAACCGAAGAAGTACCTCTTGTTCGGATTAGCGCCGGCCTCCAGCAGGATCCTCGCGACCTCGACGTGGCGATTCCGCAGGGCCAAGCGCAGCGGCTCATCGCACAACATAGTCCTAAATCGGAAGATCCCGAGAGTACAGAATATGAGACGATGTAGACAACGTATCTGACGTGGTTTAAAATTAACATGTCTGTCCGGCGAGTTTATGGTATTACGCCATAATAGAATTTTTATTATTACATAAAATATCGTGCAATATGATTAAAAGAAGAAATAATTAATTCTTGAATCACGCACTTTTTACTTATTTAGACTGTTACCTAGCTATTTATGTCATTCAAAATTATTTCTTCACAAGTATTTTAAAAGATCTCGACGATCACCAGTCAGTGTTAAGAGCCATATATGACGCACCTGGGAAAGAGCTCCGGCGTGTCCTGCCGGTGGTCCACCTTGGCGCCATACTTGAGCAGCAGCTTCACCAGGTCCAGGTAGCCGTGCTCGGCGGCGAGATGCAGGGCCGAGTAGCCGCACTCGTCGGTGGCGTCGATGTCGGCGCCGCGCACCAGCAACAGTTGGGCGGCCTCGGTGTACCGTTGCCAAACGGCGTAGTGCAGGGGCCTGAGGCCCTGGGTGACCGGCTCGTTCGGCTTGGCACCGCAGGCGAGGAGGATGCGGATCTCGTCGAGCGGCTGCAGCCGTATTATCGAGTCCGCCAGCTCCCGCTGCAACGGGTTGGCGATGCACTCGGTCGGCATCTACGTGGCGTAACACAAAGAGATAGACAGGCGAGATGAGAGAAAGAAAGATGATAGGGAGATAGTATAGGAAAAATTGCGTATATATATAACGCGTCATCTCGCGCATTGACAGAAATCATCTTCTAGGATTTACAGAGACGGTTTATCGACGACGGTCCATCGATACGCAACGTCATCGATGTCATTTCTAACAGCGGAAATTGCGAGTCCCCCGTGGAAAGAAACTGAAAAATCTTTCGCGAGGCCGTAAAGACAGAACAATACGTACACTACATGCATTATTGACATGTATCTAACGTTGATACGCACTTTAATACTGAGTCTGATTTGCCTTACACGACGAGCGATCCGACAAATCTGCAATACAAGAAGATAGGGGGATTAATAAGAACCGGCTTGTCGTAACTCACGATATTACAATGTGAGAAAAATATTTGAACAATATGAAATTCCGCGTCTTGTTTTAATAATCAATTAATAAAAATGAACAGAATTATATTTTTTCAACGAGATCCCGCGTATAAAAAAATATTTTTCTCAGGTTTTTCTATCGTATCCTTGATTTACAATCTTTTCTACCGCAAGCCGTAAAACTTACATAACAAAAATACAAGAACGCCAATATATTGATTGGAAAGAAATATAAAAGTGTTGGGAAATGTGAATTAATAAATTTTACAGAAAATACAACAGTTATAAATTTTATATCACGATATAGAAGAGCATTCGCGAGGATACGATAGGAAAAGACCTCGATTTGAGATTCCGGACATCGCTGGTAACGCAATCGCCACGTGAAACGCAGCTGCGCGAAGATTTTCCTCCGACGGCTACGATCCCGCGAGAGACGAACTTCGCGAGACACGATTTGGCTGACGATAGGTGAGTAATGCAATCGCCGTTCCCGCAGCGGGGAACTTCGCTGACGCGCGTCACGAGCACCAGAAACTCTGCCAAGAGGACGGCGCAATTTTGGCGATGATGCCGGAAGTCCCGCGGCGGCGTCGTCGATCGAGAATCACGCAGTCTGCGCCTCCGCGAAGACCTGGCGCGCAACGCGCTCTCCGTGGCCACATTGTCCCCTTTGTTACGCGAACAATCGCAAAATTCACTGTAACGAATGATCCGAACGATCTCTTCGAACTCGAGAAGAGCGATCCGAATGTGCAATTTCAGAATTGGATCTTGTCGAATGTTTTTCAGAAAAGCGCAAGTTCGCTTTTGACAACTTTAAAGTTGATTTTCTCGACTCTTCTCAATGAAATCTGCAGCTAAATTTAGTTAAGGAAATACTCTCTCTTTCTCTATCTCGGGGTCTGTATTTTAATTAAATTATAACATCAGAAAGGACGTCGTCAGGCTAGAGCTTAATTAAAATCGTCTGCGAGCTATTAGATAATTGTTATACATTCAATTTGCGATTTTATTTGATTGACCAAAAATTACATTTAAGATTACATGGACTTTGAACAAGTTAATTCTCGAAAAACAACGCGCGAATCAAAGTTACTATGATAACGAAATGTCCTGTAAGCTTCAAGGCAACACGAGGCATCATAGGCTGATTCTTTCCCGCGATTCTTGAATTCTTGGACCGGTAATAATCCTGTGTTGCACGACGTATTCTTAGTTTTCTCGAAAGATCAAGATCGATCCGACCAGCGCGGTAACGACGCAAAAAGAGCCGATATTCACTGCCAATTTTCGCCGCGTATATCCGACTATCGTAAACATTTAGTCCGGATTGATGCAAGATCTTGATAATGTCGCGCAATTTGTTACACTTCAAAGTATCGAAGCGGAAGTAGGTACGCTCCAGATATATGTATTACGGTTTGACACCTGTCGGCACGCGATTGAGACTTCCATTAAAAATCGCTGAACAAAAAAGTAGATTATTATTAAATATACTGATTCCCAATAGCGATGCAACGTATTAAATTATTCGCTCAGTTCAGTCGTTTCGATCAATCTTATCAGGTTTTTTAGCGCAATTTATTTATGAAAATATTATATGTATAAGAAACTTGTTGGCAGGTAAGCTATCAAATTGAAAGGTTTTAACCATTTCAAGACATTTTACTTGATCCTCTTGGATCTCAATTTAGTAAACGATGTCGTTTCGATTTCTAGCCGCTGATTGACTTTCATCAGGGAAAATAAATTTAAACGGTAAAAAAAAGACTAGTTGTCAATCTTGCTTAAAATTTTTCAGAGCAGGTATAGTGTTTCTGAGAAAAAACGATGTTCCAGAAATTAGAGAGTCATCAAGTAACATCTCGTACATCGTAATTTTTAAATAGTTTACTTCTTCAATCTTACATCAATCGAAAATCTCACCGTACCGAGGGAAAAAATCCTATTTCGCGAAAACATTGTCCGGTTACTTGTCACTCTGACGTCTCAGCTCTCGGACGATCGGTACTGATCGCGACATCCGGTATCGGCGACCCGGTCGACGATGACGATCTCTCGTCCGCTCCGTCCGCATAGTGACTTTTGACGTTACCGCGTTTATTGTTTACTCACTTCAAAGACGGTGCGGTGCTCCAGCATGTAGGAACGGTGTCGCGAGAACTGACTTCTTCGTCGGACGACCCGGTCCTATTTAAAGCCTCCGGCTAAGCGGCGCGACTCGCCGCCCGAAAATAACACAAAGGGATACACGCACTCGGGAGAGTTCGCGCATGTATCTTTTGGCTGCTACGCAATTTTTGTCTTTTAGCGCGTAGACGCGCAGGAGAGAACGCGTATCCATCACGTGGCACGGCTACGAAGGCAAGTCACCCCTTTCTTCGCGCGCGCTTTTTCCCCCCCGATCTTCTGACGGGCGGAATCGTCATCGCGCCGCGGGCCCCCTTCGCGAGGGGGGCTCCCCGCTCCGAGGATGTCCTCCCGCTCCTCACTCACGCGTGTTTGTTTTGACAATACTTTGTGATCTGTTTTGGCAGTCCGCGCGCAATTGCCATAAAAACACATTTGCCGAAACTGCAGTGGTTATAGGTACTTAACACGCGATACCACAAACGGGCGCGTTGCAAAAATCTCAGAATATAACGATCGCGCCGGATGGGCTTAAAGTTCGACAAATTGCGTTATCAGTTTACTACGTATGCTTAAATAAAAAGGAGATATCGTTTTCCACTGTATCGTGTCCGTAAATAAAATTAAAATCAGCGTTTGAGCCATCCGAGGAATCTGTTTACAGAAACAAGTGTAACATCAACGAAATACGTTATGATTCACCCAGCTAAAATTTTTGCAGAAACAGCAACGTATAGACGTATGACGTCGAGATTATTAAATTATTATTAAAATCTGATTATTATTCAAATAATTAATAATTACTTAATTTTGGTGTAATAATTTTCGACGCGCATAACGATCGAATTCATTTCTTCATTTCTTTTCGAATACGATAGAACCCGAGTCGGTATATCGTTGATGATTCTAAACGACATATTTCCGAGATGTTCGAAGGAAAATTATCAATAATATGTAATAATCGATGTTTAGTGCAACAATAGTCATTTACAATGCGCACTGTCCTGGTACATATCATCCATATGACACACGACCACGCACGCGTGGTCGGCACTGGCGGTACGCACAAAGAGATTCCTCCTCCATCCCCCTTGCCTTCTTGCCTCCACCGAATACGTATGTAATAGCGGAGCAACAACTCTGCTGTGTCTCGTTGCCTACAACTACGTCTTTCGGAAAGTTCACTGATCCTCCGATCCGAAATTAAACCGAATCCCGTGATTTCTCTGAATTTCCCGACCGCGCGCGGCCGAGAACATTCGCAGGACGGTGACACCTCGTGAGCCAACGAGGGGGCACGGGGAAAAGAGAGAGTTGTTTTTCTCTCGGTAACAAACATAGAGGCGCGATTTTACAAGGAAACAGTAGTGTATTACTTTGGAAAAAATCGAAATGTTCCGAAAGCGCCAAAGGTAATGTCGGCGCGACTACTTTACAAGACGGAGTCCTCCGCACGCAACTTTGTGCGTAAATAAAAATAAAAAAAAAAAGAAATCGCCTCGCAACTTTCGAGTACAATTTTCTCAAGTTTTCTTAGATCTTTTTCTCGCTTACGTGAAAAAAAGAATTACATAACAATAACGTTGATTTAAATTATCAAAACTTAAAAAAAATATAGATGTATGGGTGGTCACTACTAAATCACGCGACGTTACAATGTTATAAAGGGTTAATTACGCCTGACGCGTGTCTCGCAGATCTTCGTGTGAGAGTAACGCGAAGGGCGGTTTGATCGTGCGAGGTAAACCGGTACGTGTAGGTCAAGCGTCGATTGATGCAAGTTAAAATTTCATTTTCGTACGAGACCTTAGGTAGTGCGAAAACAAGGTCGACGACCGGACCGAGACGCGTGACAAATGAGGAGAAAACCGCAAAGAAAGACTTCTATACGCATATATATCTCTTCACAAAGAGAAAAACCCCATGGTCTCGTCGCCCCCTCAACTTCCCGAAGCGAACAAAGGTCGCTCACCGGTCGGGTTCGCTGAGCGGTACCTGAACGCGCGAGACCGACGAAAGGCGGTAGGCACACAGATATAAGTATTTTTTCAGCAGTACTTTTTATTAGGAAATACTTTGCACTTATATTAAATACCTTATACTCATAATTAATTTTAATTATAATAATTATTGTTACGTAGCACTGTCCTAACTCCCTACTAAGAAGCATGCTTTTTCACTAACACATGTTACACGATTTTAAAATTATAAGCCGAGGTCTGTCCCTCTTTTCTCTCGCCAACTTTACTTACAACCCTTAAAATACAGTTCTTACAATACATAGCGATTCAATACTTGACGAGCGTGTCGAAATATGCGCCGCGCTTCAAGTGACAATCCGGCAAGAAAAAGTATCGTATAATAATAATAATAATCAATCACTTAAATGACAAATTCGTGTTCGATGATATTTCTGTGTTATATATAAATTTATATCATAAAATCATATATATATATATATATATATGTATATTTAAATGTCAGGAGGCTCGACCAGGAGAGCTGCAGTGCCATTGATGTCATATATATGTATCTATGTATTTATATAATTTTTAATTTTGTTTGCATACTTATTCCAACTCGGTAAACTGCGTACCAAATATTCCATATAATCAATTTTTTTTATATATCGCGAAAATCAATCGATTGTTATAAAGGAGAGAGTGAAGGAAAAGTGAAGCATTATCTTCGTAGCAAGAATTGTTGGACGCGATTCTCCGTTATAGGATTATTGATTAAATTCATTCAATATATGCATGATTCGTACATATATTGTAAATATACATAATGGTTGTGGTGGATACCAATCACTGACCGATAAAATATGCATATACACTTGTTGGTGCAAGCCAATCCTAATGAAACAATTCGTTTAACACAGAAATTACCAAAAATATGGAAGAAATCGTATATCGTACGTACTTTCTAGCAATTTTTGGCTCTTTAAATCAGATTTTACCAATTTCTTGCTTAAGCATTGAATTTTCTGTATTTTGAGTTTTTTTTTATTGCAATTGTACAGCTAAATCTAGTAGTTCCACAGAGATACTCAGAACTAATAGTGCTCAGAAATATATATATGTATTTATGTATGTATGTGTATGTATATTGCAAACATAAATATATATACATATATATACATATATATATATATATATTTATATAATTTTAAATTTATATTTTTCTGAGAATCTTACAATGTGGAGTACCAATTGTACGTCGATGATTAAAATAAAAAATAATTATAATATTTATATAATAAACCGGCGTGAATCGTTGGCGACAAATTTCGTACATCTCTTTCGGGCAACGCTCCCTTTCGCAATTACTTATTTTATCTGTCATCGTTCTTAATTCTTTCTTTCTTTCTTTCTTTCTCTCTCTCTCTCTCTCTCTCTCTCTCTCTCTCTCTCGGAAGTCAGGGCTACTTTCAAAAGTGTCTCATATACACATACGACCAGGACATCTCCTGGTTGCGCCAGAAAGACTGTTTCTTTCCTACGCAACTCCGATGTCCACGTTCGAAAATCTCATTCTCCACGCATTACATTCAACATACTTAGTTTCGAGGACCTTTTCTTTATTCTTACTGGAGTGGGTTTCTTTTTTTTTTTTACTTCGCTCGCTATATACGCAGTGCCTTACTATATGCTATAACGACACTCGTAACCAACTTTAATTAAGATCTTACACCCTGACGGTGACCTTACACGCGAATTATATAAAAGCTGGTTTGTTGCGATCAGCAAAAACCGTACGGCACGGCACGTTCTGCGAATTGTATTACAGTCGCAGGGACGAGTTCGCTCTGCTTCATTTCTCGTCCCTTATATGTCTCTTCTGTTTTCTGTGTATACGTGTATGTACGCGTATTCTTCGCGTACACATTTATATATCTTGCCGTATTACACTGAATCCGCACGCTTCTCTCACCCGTATTCAAATCGCGCTTACGACAACAACAATCTGATAAATCGAGACACGTCGTCACTCCAACGCCGGTAGTCATACGCGAAACATATTCATACTGCCGTATTGTACAGGGTGCTCCCGGGTTAAATCGCCAAACTTGGAATATGAATTTAGGACCTCAAAACAAACGAAATTTTCCTCTAAAACTATGCTCGCTTCGTTTAAGAGATATTGACTTCTTAAGTTACATAATTATAGGAATGAATAATGTCGAAATATTTATTTATTTTGTTTTGAAGATCGAAGATCATTGATCGACGGCTAATGTTTCCACCGTGATCGATAGGTGCACCGCTTGTCTCCAGGCTGGAGGCCATCATTTTGAACAAAACATGTAATAGTTAAATTCTGATCGCTATAAAGCAATAAACAAGATAAACATAGATTATTTCAACATTATTTATTCCTATAATTCTGTGACTTATGAAGTAATATCTCTTAAACGAAGCGTTTATGAGCATAGTTCCAGAGGAAAATTTTGTTTGTTTTGAGGTCCTAAATTCATATTTCAAGTTTGGCGACTTAACCCGGGAGCACCCTGTAGAACTGAATGCACGTGCGCTAAACAGTCCCCAACGAGAAAAATACGCGACGAAGGAATTAATTGACAAATATAATCAATTTTGACGTGGTGCGACGAAATGTCGTATCACATTGCGATCGAAAGCGAAGATGTTGAAAGCAATCCAAGTGTACATTCCCAAGGCGAAGAACGTGAACAAACGCGAACAAGTGAACGAGCCTGCTTCGATGTGTATCAATGTGCAATTACAAACGATTAATTAAATTAATAAAATTTGCGCCAACCGTCTTTCATCGATACATCAAAGAATAAGCGAACGTTACGCTCAGTCCATATTCATTCGAAATCTTATATCTACCTTGGGGTTCGTCACTTGTAAAGCGAAGGAATTAACTGACAAGTACAATCAATTTCGGCGTGGCGTGACGAAATGTCGAACGGCATTGCACTCGAAAGCGAAGATGTTAAAACGCGTCAAGCGTATTCCCGACGAAGGCGAAGAACATGAACAAACGCGAACAAGCGCACGAACGAGCTTGTTTCAACGTGTATCGACGTGGAATTACAAACCGTTAATTAAATTAAAATTTGCGTCAACGGTCTTTCCTTGATACATCAAAGAATAAGCGAACGTTACGCTCGGTCCATGTTCGTTCGTGGTCTTGTATCCGCCTGCGGGTCCACTTGTAAAGCGTTTTCGAATACGGGCTCTCGACACAACAGCGCAAAATATATATTCGTGTAGTAATAATAAGTGTAACTAATGGGACTATCCTACGGGATCTAATGCTTAAGGATCTAACCGTTGAACGGACGCAGTCGAAGGCTTTCGCGTGTGATGTACAATATATAATACTGAATCTCGCTCGGGACAGTGTCGCGCGAGTACTGCAATGGGAACTGAGTAACGAGTACTTCGGGAGAACAACGATCGAAGCGTCGGCGGCGATTCGGCGTAATATGGCGCACTTTATAATCCTGATACATCATACAAATCCCTAATAATAATCGATCAATATTAGATGCGTACTCTAGTTAGAAAATTGAACGTTTACAAGTCACTCGTCTATTGTGGCTACACAACTCATTCACGAAACATCAAAGCACGTATGTTCTGTAAATAGGCAAGCAACTATATCTATTTCTACATTCCGAGTTTCTTAAGAAGATTAATAATGAACGCAATTTGTAACTCGCATTTTCTTAAGAAGATTAATATGATGAACGCAATTGACTAACGTAACTCTTCAAAGCCATGTCCCTACATTAAGGAAACTGACTAACATAAGGCCTGTTCTTTTTAGCTAAACTTGTTGCACGGCTCATCTTTCCCCTTTTTCGTTTCACGTTGCAGAGAAAAAGAGAAAGGATGAACTGTGCAAGAAGTTCAGCTGAATAGAACAGACCTATAATGTCTCGTGAATAACGCTTTCCGACGTAATACAAAATTATAATGGATAAACCGAACAGTCAAAAGTATAATCGATGTTCGCTTTAATTTTAGCGTCTTTATAAACTGCGTTCATTGAATCGCATAGAAAGTATTACCTCGGAAAGTTTAACTTAGCGTAATGTATAACTTAGCCAAATCACTAAAAATAAAAACTTAAGCTAAAAACAAAATATAAAAATACTACTTATACGGAGTATGCTTGGTTTTGATGCCAACTCAATGTAATCGCACATATATATATAGTCCAAAAGTTAACAAAGATCAAACGACAAAACATCCACAATCGTACTGATTACACGAACAGATCTCTGCATGTCACGTGTGTATGTGTGTAGTGTGTCTTTTTTCTTTCTTTCTTTCTTTTCGTTTTAATTGCATTGCCTATTTAATCAATTAGATATTCGGTAACTGTAAAAAAGACTTACAAATAAATGTTTCGAGGTTCAATCGTATTCTAAAGTTATGGATTCTCTATCTACAAATAATAATACCATCGTAAAAACGGAGACCAAAGCGATACACAATGTAATTAAATATAATATAAACTGCCTCAAAATGGCTACCTATTTACTGCTATCATAAGTGGCTATTATGATAATAGTCATTAAGTATCGTTCACACTTCTTTGATTGTGGTTTAGTTTACATACTTTAAGACGTTATGATACATGTGAGTATGACACGGAGTTCCACTAAAAATATCTGTTAGATACGCTGAGCATTACTGACTTAAGCACTGTACTAAATTCACATAAAATTGTATTGTTATTATTATTATTATTAGAAAACTAATTATTTTTCATTGGTTTGAAATACTGGTTTAATAGATCCGTATAAAACCTTTGTCAACTGGAACTCTTAGAATAATGATTTACACGTTACCAATTCCTCGCGGGAAAGAATGCTATATACGAGTAAGTCATTACAATTCAATCAACTCTCATTGGACATTACAACAGGCAACAATTGCAAGTCATGCGTTGAGTTCGCGTTAACATCACACTATCCAATAAGCGACTTGTTTCTCTTTCCTTTCCTTTCCTTTTCTTTTCTTTTCCGATATATCTCGATATATTGTGAAATGTACAGAAACAATCGAGTCTGTGTTAAATACGTGATGATCGCATAAAGAAATGATAAATGAGAATAAATACAATTATGTAAGATCTGTGACATATGTTTCGATTAAATGTTCAACTTCAGCGTCTTGAGAGAATGTGTTCATCAGTCGGATGGCAGCAGTCTTACTGCAATTAATAGAAGCTCTAACAAGCCTTCTAAGTTAGATTAGTTTTTTTTCCCTTTACATGTATCTTGTATATTGTCTAATATAAATAAATTAATGATCCAGTATGAGGCCAGAGAAAGGCAGTTACATACTCTAAGTGATAGATAAACTTTACTTTATCTTCTATGTGTTATTGTTCATATCCACTTTTGTTTTGTATCTGGCACTCTTTCCTATTTTAGGCTGCTTCTCAGTTTAACTGTAATTTATTTTGCTGGATTATTGCGTTGCATGGAAAAATATGGCTTTATCCAAAATGCTATTTAACAAAGGCAATACATCGTACAATTACATTGTATGCGCGCCACAGTTGTTGTCACACAATTAAACTTCTTTGAAAAGGCAGAACCAGTGTCCGTAAAAAACAACCGAGTGACCGGCGGCGTTACGCCAGTCGATTTTTACAGACATCAGGTAATTCTTATCGTCATTTACAAATGCTGTTATTTGTACACTATGCATGTAAAAAGCGTTACACTACATACGTCATGATCGTTTCATCTCTTGTGATGTTCAACAAAGCTAAATGGTAAACTTTGAATAAATACCGGTTCCTCTTACTGTATAAGTTATCAAGGTATATATAGAATAAAGGCAGAAAGAAGAAACCTTCCTCGACAAAGTGCCTACAAAAATATTTATATAATAGATTGAGGATTGCTGTGTCTAAGACTTTAATCTGGTTATATTAGCCACGTGTTACCAGTCTTAAACATAGTGACTAATCGATCATGGACAATTCCTCCTGTCTTTCTACAACTGTATACATTTTTGATCTTTAAGCGTCACTCTCTGGTGCAGAATATAAAGCGTGTCAGAACTAAGAATCTGTCTACCCCTGGTGGGGTAATTATTTAAAAATACAAAAAGATAAATACTCGGTAAATACGTACATGTGTACAGATGCCACAGATAACTTAACGAGAGCAAGCTGAGCTTTACTGAACCATATATAAATATGATTTAATAAAAAATAACTTATGCTATGAATGCCTTTTCTTCAAAAACATTTCGAGTCATTAAAAAAATAGCAGTTATATGACATAGTCAATCTTCTTTTTCTCTTTTTCTGTTTTTTTTTTGTCTTTTCTTTTTCTTTTTTTTGAACTGTACTTTGTAAATCCGTCTTATTACGCACGATATTGATGCAGGATTCAAAAACATATCTCATCCATATATAGGCTAACTACATCGGTCACTAAGTAGAAGAACGGAACACGGCTGATAATCAACCATACGCGTAGCGTTCGTCCACAGCATGAAGGAATTCTTATCATAGATACACATGAATATCCTATACAACTTGTATTCTCGTCAATGAACGTCTTATTAAGTGCGCTTACATACAAATCCTGCGTATAAAAAAGTCTCAAAATAATAAGATTTTAAACACATTTGTTCAACGCTCGACCTAATATTTTGATCTTTAGTGACATTTCTCTTATAAGTATGACGCCGTTACAACGCACAAGTACTTATAAGTATGGAATTAATATTTTCGATATTAATTCATGATGGATGACAGATGGAGTGTTCTCGCGTACGATTGTTTTATACGAGAGAACGAATATTAAAAAAGCAGTTTATTTCAAAATTCTCAAAAAAACACTTTCTCAAAAACTATTTTTTTTTTCAAGATTATTTTTTCAAATTAACGTGCACAATAGGTATCTCAGGAAAAAATCAATTTACCTTTTTTAACCCTTCGTCACACTTATCTACAGTTTTATAATGATCACACCGGGGTCAAAACGAACCCCAGCGACTTTAATCGGCTGCCGTATTTACAGTTTTCATTATTTTGATTTGAAAAGATTACTGAACCTTTCTGAATTGTTGCAAAACCTGCCGCAATATTAATTTTGTTTTAATTATTTAATATTAACATATTGAAAAGAAATCGCAAAGTGTAATATCGTTAGTGTAATTTTGCTTTGAAAAATTTATGGGGTCATGCTGACCCCTAATGACCACGAAGGGTTAACTTGAGACATGCTTTTCAATATTGTATTAAGAGTTTAAACCTATAAAAAAGCTGAATAAAAAAAATGTATACAAAAATAATTTTAGAGAAAAATTAGAAACTTGGCTTTAAGGAGGTATGCTGAGACTTGAAAAAGTCGTAAAAAAGGTACTTCTCAGGAATTTTTGTAGGAATTTTTTAAGTAACAAAATGTTCCTCTTTTCTATGTAATATCCTGTATTTTATTAAAAAAAAAAAAAATAATAATAAATGTTTATTCTAATTCAGATGATAGCCTTCTCCCAAACAAGAAAATTTTTAGTTTTTGCGTTTTAGATATCTAGATATCTAGAACAGCTAGAATCACTTACACCGTCTATCATATTTACACTTCCTAGTAACCAAGATATGATAACATCGAAAAGAAGAACATTTTTGTCACTTAAAAAATAAAAATTATATTCTTAAAATAAAGTTAAAGAACATGCAAAGTTTAGCGTTATTCGCTTTTTTCGTTTCCCCACAAAAAAATCCTGAAAAATACATTCTTTTATGACTCTTCAAACTAGAATACCTCCTTAAAGCACCGTCATTTGGAAAATTTTAGCTTTTATTTTTTAGAAGCAGAGCGTGCACAAGTGTTTTTCATATATAGAATATTCCTCAATGAATATTCATATATATTTAACATTTCTTTTGTTCTGAAACAGAATATTATCGTAACAAATCATAAACTTCATAATTCTACTTTTGTATCTTTACATATTACTATATTCTTTACATATTATTACATTCAAGACAGAATTCTGATAAAATTTCAAAATAGACTGCCCTTTTAAATCTTATGCGGCATTATCATAAATTCGTGATTCACAGTTCTCGATTCGCAGTAGATTCATGGAAATCCGAAAAATGCGCTTAAAAAACGCCTTCCAAACGGCCGAGTAAACCGAGGACGTTGGAAGATGTCGCAGATAGTGCGAGTATAAGAATGGTTTTTCTATCCTTCTCCCAGCTCAATTTTCCGAGACACAATTGCTAAAAAGATCTTGAATTTGTTTGCGTCTTTAAGGAATAATATCTCAAGGAATATGTTCAATCTCAAAACTCGGAAAATAACTTATGCCGAACGACAAGATTGAGAAACAAATCCCTCTTTGTTTCTATACCTTTTTCTTTTATTTGATAAGCGACCGTTCTATATCACGAAGCTATCAAACACCCCACGTCTACCAGCTGTTTCCGAACTGTGGTTCATCATTTGCACTATGATGCGCTTCTACACAAACAAGCACGAATAATTGATTCACGGACTTTTTATTTCGTCGAAAAATTGCTCCGCTGGCGAATCTGTTTCAACTCACACTACTCACGAATCTCTTACGAACAGCGAACCATGAATTACGTATCGCGTCTGCCGTTTAGTCTGCCGTTAGCTTTACGCAACGTTATTATAATACAATACACGTTAATATTCCAGTACACTCTACATTACAATAATCATCTGCATCTTTGTACTTAAGAAAAAAAAAATAGAAAAAAACCGGGTTTATCAGGCAGTCTTCCTAAGGACACTGAATCCAACATAAACATGATGTAAGACACGATCGCCTGAAAGTTTCTTAACTTAATGCTGTGTCCGAACTTTTACATATGGTATCTTTTTTGTATATACATGGAGCGGAGCTGTTCGAGACACAAATTATATCTCCAGAATGCACACTGGATCGATAATGGCATAAATGCAGAAACACGTTATACACTGTAAACATAGTAGTCTTGTGAACCAGCGCGCGAACGCGCCGCTACGAATACGAATGAATAATGATATGTAAACTGAAAATAAAATTAAAAAAAAAAAGAGGAAAATAAAATATATGAGAACTCAGTGTAAAGGAGCTAAAAGTATAAAAACCAACGAAACGGTCTGGAACAGCTCTGATGAGGCGGCAATAAAAAGTTTGTCCGATTCAAAACTGAATTCTAAAAAAACTCACTACTTCTTTGTACAGCACTACGGTAGGCTGGAATTTAGGCTCTCCGGCAAACGATAATTCATCATATGATACGGTGGACTGGCCGGACTGCTCGGCTGGCTATTCATACCGAGATTACTGGAGCCGCGGCCGCGTTTTCGCCTCTGCAGAATGCCCTTTCTGACCATATAGAAACGGATTGTGCTGATCGGTATCTTGTACTTTTCCGAGGCTACTTGAAATGTCATGCCGCGTGCCACCATGTCCGAAGCTTGCTTGAGTTCCTCTTCCGAACGCCTTTGTCGTCTTTGATAACCTTAAAAAGATGCCATATTTAGCATGCACCAACGTACAGTCAAATGACATATACAGGTAAAGACAGAAAGATCAGGTCAAAGACTCACCTTCAATCGCAGGGAATGGGCTGCTAGGATTGCAATTATTACTGGATACCATGCTAATGGAATACGGTTTGACATCCTGCTGCTGTACAAACTGCTCATCGGGCTCCATTTTTACCATACCCGTGGTTTCGGTGAGAGTCGCCTCGCAAGCGCTAAGAGCTTTTTCTAAATGTTGCAGCGCTTCGCTATGTTCCATGTTTACGAAGTTGGAGGAGTTGGGATTTTGTGATGAGACAGGAGGAGTGATAGCGGACGAGTTGTTTCCTGTGCTAGCCATTGGCGTGCAGAGAAAGTCAGAGGTACTTCCGTCGTTGGACGAAGTGTCCGCCTTATAGTTGCTGTCGCCATGAGTAGGAGTCGACGGAGTGACGGGTGCATTAGAATCGCACGATTGTGTATTACTCTCATTCACTGAGCTCTCGCCCTGAGTGGATAAGCCACGAACCTATCGAAGAATGTATAATATATCGTCAAGTATTCTTTTGCGTATTAGTGCACAGAAAATTATACTATCACGTTAATATTTTACTTATTTTATATAGTTATATATTTTTATACTTTTTATATTAAAATGTTATATACGTGTTAGTCTTTGTCAAGATAAGACTCCTGCTAAAAAGAGTTAAAAAATGCAAAAAGAAACAAAAAGTGACTGGAAGCTAGAGGCATTATCGGACAAGTCGAAGAGGCTGTGTACCTGCAAAACTTCCGCCGCTTGCATCAATGTAGCCAGTTGTTGTTGCTCGACGTACACCTCTCCGCGGTACATAAACTCAACCAGGGCTTGAAGCTCCCACATTTTCATGTCTCTCAGGAAGATGACAGGATGGGTACACGGTATCTCCAACAGAAGACGTTCCAAATAGTCGCTGCAGGCGGACAACACAACCTTGTGGCACTTTATCGAGCCTCCGTCACAAGCCAGAGTCACGTCGACGAACTGCTCCGAGCTGAGTAACTTTGGAAACGCACTGTGCATGTTCGACTGATGGGAATTCCAAGATACACAGAACTGTTGGCGATCACCTCCGGGATAAGTGCCCGGATTGGGCAGGCTATTTCCAGACTCCATCGTAGCTCAGATGCAAGACAAGTCGCCTGTCTAAAAAAAAAAAGAAACCAAAATAATTCGAAATCTAAAATTCTAAATCACCTTGATATATCTCGCACGATCGTCGCGAAAAGATAGTATTTTGTTTCGAGCGCGCACTTTGCCACAGAAATCACTCTAGAGAATACGTCTCTTAAAAACGATAAAACGAACTAAAAATGCGACGACTAAGAAAAGTCTCGAAGAGCCTACGGTCCTTCAGACGTCTCTTAAATCTTTTGTTACGTCGCTCGCGTATACTAATAATTCAACAAAGCGGCGCATTCACACGAGGCACGCTAATGGAAACGCACGAAAGAAAAGTAAAAGGAAAAAAGAAGAGCCTACAACAAAGGCCGCACCGACACACCGCTAACTCCGAGGATTCGGATTCGGAGAAGCGCATCCGCGGCCGCGAGAAGGGCCTCTTGCCCCGCGAGTTTATTTTCGGACGCCGTAATTAACGAAACAAATGACGAATCTGACGTCCCGGCGCCTGGATTCCCCCGGGAGAGGGGAGGGGGAGAGGAACCGCGGACTCGCGCGTTCCCGAAAAGCGACGATTCCCCTTTCAGCTGTCGCTGACGGAAGCGACGCGTCGTCCTCGGCGTAGCGGCGTCGTCGGGAGAGCAGCGTGCGCGGAACGCGGGAACGTCATCGGAACAAAGACAAAGACTTGGACGGGGGCCTCGCGAGGGGGCCCAGCCATCAGCCCGGCCTCCGGCCTCCGGACTCGGTCGGACTCCGGAAAGGGGGATCTCGTCCGCGACCGCGGGCGACCGCACGCGTTATTCGCGTATACACAGCCCGCCCGAGCAACGCGATCGAGCCGCGCGCGAACAAAAGAGGATTATCGGCGGAACCGAGGCTAGGTTAACGCGAGGGAGACACGGCGGTGGAGTTAAAAAAAAATTACAATATGGCTGTCTGGCATAGGTCTGGAGCGGAACAACAATTCCGTGCACACGACACACACACACAGACACACGCACGCGCGCGCGCATAAAAAAGACGAGATATACGAGCGCACATATACACACCCCCAGAGAACGCACGCATACACGTATGTCAGACGCGCGTACACGCCAGACTCGCAGCACATACAAATATAGGCACGAACGTACGCACGCCACACATTCATGCTCAGCGACGCGACGCTATTATTCCAACATTATCGTACGCGAGAATCGTGGTAAAATCTACCCGGGAGAAGAGCCCCGAATCCTCGATTTCGAACGGCGATCGAGCGCGGCGTCGGCGAATCGATCGGCAAATCGGGCGAGGGGACGGGCGCCGCCGCCGCCGCGCCGGCGGCCGAGAAATCCACCGAGTCAGCCGTTCGGCGGACACGCGGGTGACAAACCAACGCGGCGCACAGTCGCGGAGACGAGCACTCTCGCACTCACTCGCTCGTTCGCTCGCGGCAAGTAGACGCGCGAACGGAAATGAAAGAACGACGCGTCTCTTTGACGGCACTCGCTCGTACGGACGATCACGTGTACCTCGCTGGAGTCGGTCAAGTCAAAGACAGACGGACGGACACTGCGAGCGAAATGTCGTCGCTGCCGCGGGGAGCGCGTGCCCGACGATGTCTCGGATGCCGGGTGGTGCGCTCGGCGCTTGTTCGTCTCGCGTCTCCGCGGCGTGAGTTAAAACGGGATCGCTCCCTCTCTCTCTGTCGTTCTCCGCGGGAGAGGCGACACCCCGTCACCCCCCACAGAAACGCCTCCGGGGCACCTATAATAAAATTTCACCGTTCGTTCATTGCGTACTTGCGTTGAGTGTGCGCGTACGCGCCGCCTTTCTCGTTTCTTCTCTCACGCGGTCTCTCCTCTCCCACGGCGACGCGCCGCGAGGCGTCGTATCCTCGTCCGCACGCTTAACCACGCTCGGGATAAGCGACGCAGAACGCCACGCGCCGCGCCGCACCGCGCCTCGTCTCGTCTCGTCTCGTCTTGTCTCGCCGCGCACCCGCACGCCTACGACGATTCGAACTGACAATGAGCACTCACGGGTTCCCCCTAGGTAGGCCTTTAATCGCCCCGGCTCCGCACTCTCAGAAATGTTCCGTCGCTCACGGAGAAGAATCCCTTAAGAAAACATATTCGGCCATCGAGATTTACAACACTGGCGAGGGGAGGTGGGGAGCCTCGACAGGAAGGAGTTCGGGGGGGGGGAAAGAGTGCGAAGAGGCGGGGAGAGGGGATAGGGGAGCGGTAAGACCGTGGCGGGGCAAAGGGTGAGGGTACATCCGCGTTGTCGCTCCGTCTCTTTCTCTCTCCCTCTTTTTATATACGTGTATGTATATATATATAGGTGGCGCACACACTAGCGTGAGTAGCGTGTGCCTGAGAACCGCTCGTACATACGTACACACGTATGTCACACATACGACACTAGAGATTCCAGGGAAGGAGCGCGAGAGAGGCAGAGAGATAGAGAACTCGGGAAGAGCGACCGAGGCGAGGAGCCGAGAGAACGGGCGGATAGAGCGGCGAGAATCGAACCGGGGGTCCGGGGTACCGTCGGCACGTCGGCCGCCCCCCCGATTGATCGATACTTACTCGGTCTAGCCGGGCTGAACGGCCTCGCGTTACCGATGCCTCGACGCCGACGGCGGGGTTCCCGGGCGCACTCTATCCGTAATAAGTGTCGCTAGAATTAAGCTAGCGTGTCGCGACGGGCCTCTAGCGCGCATCCGTCACCGCGCAGCGAAACTTGCGCCGGATCTTGGCCGACGAACCCGCGGTTGATTCCCTTCTTTAGACGCGCCTCTTGGGTGGGCCTTTTTCCGCGCGCGACGGCGAAAGCCCCGCTACACACGGCGAACCACGGCTGCGGAAAGCGATCGACAATCGCCACACGGGTATTACACCGCTTCTCCGCTGTGCACGATTCCGCTTTCGCTGCGCGCTCGTTTTACGCGCGGGACCGTTGTCGCGAACGATCTCGTGGAAACTGCCCGAAGCCCGAACGATGTGCTTTATGTACCGTGCGCATGTACGGCGTACGTGCGAGGTCTGTTCTTTTTCAGGTTATATTTCCCACGTTTGTTGCTGATTTTTTTCCTTTTCTCGCTTCGAGAGGCGCAAGAATGTTTATTTTATTTCGTGGGAGAAACCGAAAAGATACATGTTAAATGTTAATGCTAACTGTATACATAGATATGTACATACAATCACGTTTGGGAGATAATCGAAGTAATACGAGAGAAAAGATACCTTTTTTGCGTGTGGATAAGGACCCGAGAGAAATCTACGAAAATGTAATAATAGATTTCTCCGCTTTAGGGCCAATTTCACCAACCACAGTTAGCTTAACCGACGGTTAAAGTTAGCAGGATTGACTAATAGAAAGCAGGGTGGATTCATCTCTATTGGTCAATTCTGTTAACTTTAACCATCAGTTAAGCTAACTGTGGTTGGTGAAATTGGCCCTTAGGCGTGGCGCGACTGAAATTTAGTTAGTTCACCGGGCGAGACAAAGTTTTATAATAGTCATTTATTTTGATTGGCTCTTTTTTTGCCACGAGCCTTATGTCTGTTCCTTACGATGTTGCACCTTCTGCACTCTGAATGAAATATAGCGGACGTTGGGAAGGAAAAATGCCCGTTCTAGACTGGAGGATGAGCCGACTCTCGGCTCATCCTTCTTTCTATAGTGTACGTGACATAAACTATACATAAACTATAGATTTTTA